TAAAAGAGAGAGTATAATTAAGGAGTAGATTAATATCCACACTATTTCCTTGCTAGATCATTTCTTACAAGACATATCTTTTGACAAATTGTTAATTCTGAATCCAATTTATGTAATTTTCAATATGCATGCTTATTAGAAATATGAATATAAACTACTATACAAAAATGAAAATATTATATATATATAAGGAGAAAGGAGTAAAAGGTTTGAGGTAAATAAAAAATGAAAACTGAATAGGAATATTCAGTATACTAAGCTAGGATGAAAGGCGAAAAACTAGGAGAACTTCAGTTTCTTATAAATGGAGGATGGAGAAGAAGAACATTTTTAATAGAGAATGGAAAAAGGATGGAAAGAGAATGGAAAGAGGATTAGTAGGATGGAAGGAGGATGGATGAGGTTGGAAAGTTGATGGAATGAAAAAATATTTCTTTAAATAGAAAAAAACCTTGTTTAACATCAACTGCTGCCTGTGCTGTGATACACATATCATTATCTTGTGGAAACTTTGCACAGTCCAGCATAGCAGGCCAAGGGAACCCGTAGGCTCCCATCTTCTCTTCACAACCAGATCGCACTTTACTGCATAGAGATCGGCAGGGATAGATCGGTCTGCAAAACAAAATTATTTAGGATCGCAAAAATAGAACCAAGAGTTAATAAACTGGGACTATCGGATCAAATACAATTGACCCTCAATATAAAGCGTTCAATGCTAAATTTATAACGGTGCCCTCATTATAATTACTTCACGGGATTAACATTGTGGAAGATATTGTCGTTTTTTCGTCCTATAAATATATATTATTCTCTCCATTTCCTCCGTCTTTTCTTATGCATAAATCCGCAAGCATAACTTTGACAAAGAACATCAATTCCAGATAAAAAACATATATAAATCATTTTTGGTCAGCTAGTGGTTTATAGGGCATCGTCGTGAATCGGATATGACACTATTTAAATGGAGGGTAACTTAAAACTACGTATACACTCCCTTTAAATGAAGGGTAACTTAAAACTACGTGTGCGCTCCCTTTAAATGAAGGGTAACTTAAAACTACGTGTGCACTCCCTTTAAGTTTAGGAAATTTGTGGATTAAAAAGTTTACATGGTTCATTGGTATACAAAGAAAAGCAGATCAAGATGAATAATTTTAAATTTATCATTGATAAAAAATTAAGTAAAACATAAGACAATTGCCAAGTGGAGAGCTGTGTAAATAATTAATTATAGATTAAAAGAAAGTAAGAAAAAGAAAATTTACAAATTCTGGGACTAAAGTTCTTCATGGTCCTATCTCAGCATTTGAGAGATTAAAGAACTAATACAAAACCTTGGAAAAACTGAACATAAGGTTAGTTTAGGTTACCTTTCTAGACAAACCGGAGAGAAGAGAGAGCAAAGGAAGAGTTGAGTATCCGGGTGACATTTTATATTGAGAAGAGGAATCCAGGACATACTCTGCTGACTAACCTAGACATTAATCTTGCTTAAAGTTCTCAATCAATCCTCTCATATTAAAATGTTAAGTATATTTTCTTAAATATTTTGTTTTAGAAACATAAAATTAATGTTGGAGATGCCAATCCGATGTTTTTATATTTTCATGAATTCTTCAGACAAGATAAATCTACACCCTCCCCCCCCACCCCACCTTATCTCCCCTCCTTACCTGTCATTCCCCTCCCCCTTTCCATTACCTTACCCTCCCGGATATTTCCTACCTTCCCTTCCATGATACACCCTTTCTATCTAATTTCTCAGGGTTTCTTTCCTTCCTTCCGTGCTTTCCCTTTCCATCCCTGTTATTTCCTTCCTATCCCGTCCCTGGCGTTTATTCTTTACCCGTCCCATATCTTCTCTTTTCCTTCGTCCCTGCTCTTCATACCCTTTCCGTCCCATCCTTCTCTTTCCTTTCCGTCTTACTCCTCATACACTTTTTCTTTCTTGCTCCTTCTTTCCGTCTCCATTCTTTCATTTCCGTTCCTGCTCTTTTCTTTCCTTTCTGTCCCTACTCTTCTCTTTCTGTCCCTACTCTTCTCTTTCCTTCTCTACTCTTCTCTATCCGTCCCTAATCTTCTCTTTCCGTCCCTACTCTTCTCTTTCCGTCCCTACTCTTCTCTTTCCTTCTCTACTCTTCTCTTTCCGTCCCTACTCTTCTCTTTCCCTCCCTACTCTTCTCTTTCCTTCTCTACTGTTCTCTCTCCTTCTCTACTCTTCTCTTTCCGTCCATACTCTTCATTTTCCGTCCCTACTCTTCTCTCTTCTTCTCTACTCTTCTCTTTCCGTCCCTACTCTTCTCTTTCCTTCTCTACTCTTCTGTATCCGTCCCTACTCTTCCCTTCTCATACCAACTTTGATATTCTCTTCGTTGCTGTCACTGTTCTATACTTTCAATTCCAGATTCTCCCTTCCTTTCCTTTTCATATCTTTTTTTCCTTTCCTTTCAGTTCCAGCTTCTCCCTTCCTTTTCGGCTATGCTTTTTCTTTCGTTTTCAACCCTCCTTTTCCTTTCCTTTCCGTTCCAGCTCCTCCCTTCCTTTCCGGCTATGCTTTTTCTTTCCTTTTCATCCTTTTAATCCTTTCCTTTCCGTTCCAGATTCTCCCTTCCTTTCCGGCTATGCTTTTCCTTTCCTTTTCATCCCTTCTTTTTCTTTCCTTCCTGTTCCAGCTTTTCCCTTCCTTTCCGGCTCTGCTTTTCCTTTCCTTTCCGTCCCTTCTTTCCTTTTCTTTCCATTCCTGCTTCTCCCTTCCATTCTGTCTCTGATTCTCCCTTCCTTTCCGTCCCTGCTCATCCCCTCCTTGCTAATCCTTTCCCTGATTGCTTACCTCGTGAAGTGTATCATGCTCAACCAGATTCGGTAATCTCATCTTACTGTATCCTGAAAACAGATTTTCCTTCAAGGTTTAATTTTAAAGCAATAGTAAAAAAGTAAAAGAGAGAGTATAATTAACCTCAACCATTTCTCACCCCACAGGCACAATCCTATCGGCCGGTCCCGGGGGGGGTATGGAACGAATATAAAATGGAGTATTACCGAAAATGAAGATGGAAGAAGAATGGGTATAAGGACAAGACTAAATAGGCGGAATAAAATGGAGAGTGAGAGAAGAATTACGAAGAGGAGTAAATAGTTGGATGTAAAGGATGAATGTTGACTATATTTAATTTGAAATAAGAAGAACATTTTTAATCAAGGATGAAATGAAGGAAGAAGGCTGAATTGAAGAACGGATAATGTTGTGTAGGATGGAGGAGGGAATGCGGGATAGAATGGAGAATATATGGAATTAAAGAAAGGATGGAAGATTGAATGGAGGAAGAAGCTCTGGAGGTTAGAAGCTCTGGAGGTTAGAAGCTCTGGAGGTTTAAATGATAGATGATGAAAATATTTAAGGATATTGAATGAACAATTTAATGGAGGCTCTGCAGGATAAAGAGGATTTTTCATTAAGATAAGGATGAAGAACGCGGTTGTTAGCTGGAGGATGAAAGGTAATATATATCATGAGAAAGTTTGAGGATATAATGGAGGCTCTGGAGGATGGAAAAGAATATTAAAAATGATAAAATGAAGAATGGAGGTTGGAAGCTGGAGGATGAAAGGTAATATTTATCATGAGAAAGTTTGAGGATATAATGGAGGCTCTGGAGGATGGAAAAGAATATAAAAAATGATAAAATGAAGAATGGAGGTTGGTAGGTGGAGGACGAAAGATAATATTTACCATGTGAAGGTTGGAGGATAGAATAGATGCTCTGGGGGATAACATATGAGTTGAATATTTAGTATGATAAGGATGAAGGATGAGTAAGGGAGAATATCCAAAGAGAAGAATCAAATGATTAATGATTCTCCGGATCGAGCTTTCAGAGAATATTTTATTAGATTTTTATCCATTTAGAAAACCATTCATCATGAGTAAACAAAACTTGTATAAATTATTATATGGAACCAGCTGCCGAGGGGGGGGGGGTGTTAAATAACAATATATTCATGTATATTGTATATTTTACGTCTTAATTGTTATCGTTAACTTTGTGAAAAGTTTAAAGTGTAGAAAACTTCCACAGTTTAAAAACGAATTGAACTAAATTAAAGCACAAAGGTAAATTAACTAAAATCTTTATTCTACGCGACATCAATTAAATAAAACAGCTACAACAGTATTTCAATTAAAAGGAACTTGAGTATTTGCCAGATTCTGAAATATTCTAATCCCTTTATTTTTGTTATTAGATGGAGAAAACCTTTGATATTTCAAACTTAGATTATTTGATCTAACAGAATTCATAGTTTGAAATAAAACGGTTTACAACATTGGGTTGCAAAAATAAAGAAATTAGAAAATCAGAGTTTGTGGCCAGAACTCCGTTCATTTGCAAAACGGATGTAAGAAAATGTATCAAGAAAAAAAACAAATGAAACAATATATTTCCGCACATATTTACGATACATAGCAGATAAACTCCAGCCCTTCTTTGAACCATTGTCATTCTTTAACTATAAAAACCCCGATTTCTAATTCGTCTTTTAATTTCCATGTTTGTCGGTGAACCCTGCAGCTAACCTATATTTTGACACAGTGTCATGTTGGACGGGATATCCACACAGGTTGGTTCTCTCTCTCTGGTTAGAAGAGACCAATCTCCGAAATATCCACGAACCAAGGGGCTGAGAACCAGGATCATCATCAAGCACTTCATCCTGGACAAATCAGGTTCAATTCTGAGAATATTTATTAAATATGCTTTCTCCTAACTCTTGCTTTGAACTACGCACATGCACGATTTTTTTTTATCTTGATATTATAAATTTGATTAGTTAATATAGATATTTCAAACCTTGATCAGATCTGGAGTATATTAAAGAGAAGATCAAATATAGATATTTCAAACCTTGATCAGATCTGGAGTATATTACAGAGGAAGATCAAATATAGATATTTCAAACCTTGATCAGATCTGGAATATATTACAGAGGAAGATCAAATATAGATATTTCAAACCATGATCAGATCTTGAGTATAATACAGAGAAGATCAAATGTAGATATTTCAAACCTTGATCAGATCTGGAATATATTACAGAGGAAGATCAAATAGAGATATTTCAAACCTTGGTCAGATCTGGAGTATATTACAGAGGAAGATTAAATATAGATATTTCAAACCTTGATCAGATCTGGAATATATTACAGAGGAAGATCAAATGTAGATATTTCAAACCTTGATCAGATCTGGAATATATTACAGAGGAAGATCAAATATAGATATTTTAAACCTTGATCAGATCTGGAATATATTACAGAGGAAGATCAAATAGAGATATTTCAAACCTTGATTAGATCTGGAGTATATTACAGAGGAAGATCAAATGAAGATCATCAAACCAAAAAATGGTTTGTCAGAGAATGAAAATTTTAACTACAGGGTGTTCCAGAAAACAGGAAAGTTGGTGAATACTTTAAAATGTATTCTTCCATAATTTGTTAAGTTCTTTAATACCAAAGAGAATAAAAAAATATCACATTGAAGTGATTTTATAGGAAAACTAATTTCATAGTAAATATATTTGAGTAAAATATTTTTTTAGCGAAATAAACTGCAAGCAAGTCTTATATCTTATATAGAATATTGAAGAAGACATTTAAAACTATTCACCAACTGTCATGTTTCGTGGGACACCCGGTATCTAAACATTGAACTTCCAGAGTTATGAACTTATGATGACTACGAAAACAGTTGCAGTTGATACTGTGCACTGTGCACTGACAAAAGAGAAGTTACTCAAATTGTCAAATTTGTTTTTACAATACATACAATATATAGATATATAGATATATACATGTCTATACAAGATACATGGATTAAATCAATAATCACATATGTTACGATCAGACAAAAATTTTAGATTTATGAATTAAAATATTAAAAATATTCCTGATTTTCAGATATTTAATATCTCTCCTTTATTTTTCTAGACTAAGACTAGATATATATTTAATAATATACATCCCTGTTACATTGATCCTACCCTAAACATATGGGTACAATGATATGATAAGGGTTTACATTATATTCTCTACAGGGTGCTTCATCAATATTATACACTAGACAGGGTGATCAATCAATAATATTAAGTGAGAATTATTTTCATTATAATGTTGTTCGCTTGGATTAAATAGAAACATGTGAGGAGAAATTTATGTTATTACTCATATCTTGAGCACATGTATTGTGTATTATAGTACAGGAGTACAGTAGTAAATGAGTAAAGGAGTACAGGAGTACAGGAGTATAGTGGTAAATGAGCACAGGAGTACATGATTACATGAGTACAGGAGTGCAGGAGTACAGGAGTACAAGAGTACAGGAGTACAGGGGTACTGGAGCAATGGAGTACTGGAGTACCAGAGTACTGGAGTACTCGAGTACAGGAGTACTCGAGTACAGGAGTACAGGAGAACAGGAGAACTGCAGTAATGGAGTACAGCATTAATGGAGTACAGGAGTACTGTACAGAACAGGATTACTGGAGTACAGGAGTAAAGGAGTACAGGAGTACAGGAATACAGGAATACAGGAGCACAGGAGTACAGGAGTACAGAAGTACAGAAGTACAGGAGTACAGGAGTACAGGAGTACAGTAGTAAAGCAATACAGGAGTAAAGGAGTACTGGAGTACTGGATTCATGGAGTACATGAGTACTGGAGTACTGGAGTACTGGAGTACAGAGTACTGGAATATGGAGTACAGGATTAATGAAGTACTGGAGTACTTGAGTACAGGAGTACTGAATTACTAAAGAACTGAAGATCTAAATTAACGAGTAACATATTGTTGAATCATTTTAGTGCTAAAGTACATGAATACAGGAGTTCAACAGAACAAAAAACATGAGTTCAAACGTATAGAAGTTTAGGAGTAAAATGAAGAAAAAAAATTTATTTTCAATTTACCTGAAGAAATCTCTAGTAGCTGGAGGTGTGACTAAGTAATAACTAAATCATCCCTACGTAGCAGGATTTATGCCAAGTTTGGAGAAGATTTTAGGTTCACCAAATGCACATTCAAATTATAACTCTTCAAGAGTTCAACCTTTATCCTTTATGAGCTCAGTATATCATATTTACTCATGTAAATATAAAACTGAACCCAGGTGAAGGTTGGGACGGATTAAATAAGGTTCCAATCCGTAGTGTAGTGCAGAAGCTCCGTAACTGAACCCATCCATAAATATTGTCTGGAGAATCCTCTTCTCCCGCTCCGCTCATCCGTCCCAGCCCCCCGGTCCTGCAGCAGGACGGAGCAGAACAGATTAATCAACAAAGAATGATGAATATTCAGATCTCATTGGAATAATATTCTTTAGATGTTACTATTACTTTTATTTAAATTAATCACTTTGAAAAGTTCCATGTTTTCTAAACCCTGTTCCGCACTATCATCACTGAAACTTATTTCTTCTTTAATTAAATGGATAATCAGTATTATCTAAAACGAAAATAATTTTTCTAGTATTCAATATATAAAATTTCGTGATTTTAACGTTTCAACCTTTAAAGTCACATTCGAGTCCTACGTTTTTTTCCAGTAATACATTTGTAAAAGAAATAGTGATTAAAATATTATTTGTCTAGAAATAATTTTTAAAAAAGCATGTTTCGAAAGTTTAAAAAAGACTCGTGTTAGATGGTTCAGAGGAAGTAAAACAAATTGAATTTTTTGTGCCCAAAAGAAATGATTAAAATAAGTAAAAAATTGATAAAAGCTAAATGGTAATTTTCAAAAGAAACAGAAGATTTGTTCAGAAACAAATATGAATTCTCATGTGTAGATATTTCTGATTAAAAACATAAAAATAAATTTGATTGCTTAGTTGAAAAGGTGACATTCATTACACAACTGATGTCGTCTTCTATGTTTATATTTCGAGGTTTTTCTCTCAATAAGAAATTAAAGAAATACATTGTTTGATCTGTTGTCTCCCGGAAAATTAAAATGTTGGAGAAATTATTTTGCACACTTAATTTAAGTGTAAACGTAGAAAATAAAATAAAGTTATATTTTGACTAAAACAATAAACATATTTAAACTCTGAACTTGACGTCACTGAGGGGAGGGTGGCAGATCTTGTGATTTCTTATTAAAACTGTATGGTTTAGAATTTTTTTTAAAAAATCATGTGGCATCGATGATATGACAAATGAAATATATTCAGAGTGCTTCGCAGTCGGACTATTTTTCAAAATATAATTTCACAAAATAATTTTCATAACTTTTTAAGAATAGTTTGCGTAAACCGCTAAATCTAGGGGTTTAAGATAAAAAGAAAATTGTTGGAGACAGGAGGGAATCAAGTAGACCGCTCAATCTATGGGTTTGAGATAAAAAAGAAAAATGTTGGAGACAGGAGGGAGTCAAGTAGACCGCTGAATCTATGGGTTTAAGATAAAGAAGAAAAATGTTGGAGACAGGAGGGAATCACGTTTTTGTGCTTTCCAAAATGTGGCCAACATTCTCAGGTATAAGACATTTAGATGAGTTTTTATAGATTTAACAAATAGTAATCTTGACCTATTTTTTAATATCTCTTTTAAGTTTAAGTTACAAAAATGGCAGTCGGAAAATAGAAAAAATTCAAGATAAGATCATAAGAATTTTCTTTTATTGATTGTTTTAAGTAAAAATAATCGTGTTAAAAAATCACTTGTGTAAATTAAATATGGATAAAAAGTCGTCACTAAATTTCCATGTTTATTTGGACACCCATCGATAATACAGTGATAACCAGAAAACAATGGAATAGAAAGACGACATTATAGCAATACTTAAGCGTTTTGATGTTGTTACAAATCAAATATTTTTACTACTACTTAATAACGAATACATCGAAAGAATTCATCAAATGCCGTATTCTTCACTTTCTGATAATGGAATGTTGCAGATATTTAGTTTTTTAATTAAATGATTATATGGAACTCTTTAAAACTGTTCCCGCATATTCATGCTATTTATTTAATTTCGCAAATACTGAAATTTACGTAATATAGTATAAAACTCATCAAAAATTGTCAAGACGACATTTGAAAAATTCTTCCGATGTATTCGTTATAAAGAGTTTCACTGTAATTACTTATCAAAGCACAATTTAAGTGTAAAGGGTCTATTTACAAGGTACAATTGCTATGTCTAATGTTCACTGAACTTGTTTTATCTTAACTTGAGTTTAAAAGTCGTCTTCCTATTTCAGAGTTTTCTGGTTATCACTGTAGTAAAGTTGATTATTAAGCAACTACTATAAAGTATAAAGACGACTATTTTTTAAGAACTTACATGTGAAGACGACCATGTGAGAAACCCAAAATTTGCAACTACACAGAAGTTGGAGTTTGTACAATGAAGACGGCTTTCTATCAAAGTTGTGATTTTTAACAAGCTTTTCTTTGTTTATTGACAGTTTCTATTTACTTCCATGTTTATGTGTATTAATGCTGTTTAAAAGCATGGTAGAAATAGAAGTTAAAATCGAAAGTTGTCTTCATTATATAGATACATTACACGACGACGACTGTACATAAATATGTTTTATTTTGAAAAATTTTGTTCGAGGTTGTAAAAAACAAGATGGAGTCAATTTGAAATTAAAATAAAATGGAATATGAATGAGGTTAGGATACATTTTTTGCACTCTTTCTGCGGTCGGCTGTGGTGCGGCTGAATATGTTTTGCAAAGAATAGTTTAGAAGCTTTGGGCAAACCTTGAAGATTTTAATTCTATTGTATGATTTTGTCAAAGCAAAATAGATAAATGTATAATTTTTCCATCTGCTGTTCTTACGGACAAGGAGAATTTATGAACGAAGCTTGGGGGGAGGGGGGTTGTATGTGTGGGGGGGGGGTATTTATACGCAGATACTTAACATTCTGACCGCCAAGAATTTATCCATTCAGTTTTATTGTGACGTTCATAGTTCATAGCTAAGGCATCATGGTAAGATTTTATAGTGCTTTCCATAATATTATAAATATATTGATTAAAGAGTTGAACTTTCGCCACTAACTCAATTTTTCTAATCCCTATATTCTTAAATTTTAAGAGCCCGGATCATTGCATATCGATATCAATTGTTCAAAATTAACAACACGTCCAATTAAAGTTCCGGTCTCTGATGTCCTAAACCATGTGATAATTCAAACTGTAAATTTTGCTTGATAAATTGGTCACTAGATGACACTATGACACTAGATTGCAAATAAAGGGAATAGAAGTTTGTTGTAACGTTGTTTGATATTATATTAATTAAAATTAATTATAAATTTTGATTGATAAATTGGTCAAGTGTAAAATATTAGAGGTTTATGATACTAGATTGCAAAGATAAATGGATTAGAAGTTTGTAGTTTGAGGTCAATATTTAGTTTCTCTTTCCTGAATTTTCGCCTGCACAAAGTAAACAAACAACTTTTTTCATGTTGCAGGCTCTCCGAAGATCAATATCAGGACCAGTTTTGTTTTTGCAAAAGAAAATATTTCTCATATCTGACCTCAGATTTCTCACCGGACCTAACTCTAGACTGAACCTGAAGAATCCAGAGACGTGGAGAAGTCTATCCAAGGTTCGGGAACGAGGAAAGGGTTATCATCAAGCGCTATATCTCTCAATCCCAGTCCAAAAACTTACCTCTATCCATACTGCAGGTATAAGTTTTGTGTATTTTAACTTTATTCGATAAAATCCTAGTTTTAATTTGCATAAATTATCAAATCAAAGTCACCCTTAAAGGGAGTGTCTGCGAAAAATAAAAGGGGGTATAGGCTTAATGCGATAAAAAAGCGCTTTTGATCGCTACTAATATTACTTCTATCTGTTGCGTCTATAAGGAGAAAATTGTTAATTTTTTTAAAAATAATTTCGCTGGCGCTGGATTTTCGAACATTCCTGGAAAATATGAAAATGTCGTCTTCATTATCAAAAATCCTCGAAGCAGATATAAATGTTTCAAAAGTAACTCTCAGATCATGAAAAATACAAAATATTATGAAATATTAACTATTTACGAATGCGTCGAAAAATAATTGATGACTATTGTTTGTAATATCTGAATGATTTGTTTGAAATTAAATTGATTTGTTAACGATCCGTGTTGAAAGTTGCATCTTTCTAAACTTGTATGGACTCTACGTTCTTCGGTAATAGTCGTTTTTAACAATTTTCTCCTTATAGACGCAACAGATAGAAGTAATATTAGTAGCAATCAAAAGCGCTTTTTTATCGCATTAAGCCTAAACCCCCTTTTATTTTTCGCGAACACTCCCTTTAACATTAAACCTTTTGACAACACACAATTAGAATAGTGAAACAAAAATCTTCTTTTTTGGAAAACCATTTTTTAACGTTAATTTGAAGCTACTCTAATATTCTAATAATTCTTGCGAAAAATTAAATTATTTTGATTTTCTTGAATGATCCCATTTAGGATGTGTATACCGAGCCACACATATGACCGTGGGAGGAGGAGGGTCGGATAGGTATGGTTGGATTGGAAAGAAGGTTCAAGAATGGAGAGAAAGGTTTTACTCCGACCCTGATCTGGTCGGAGCCTGGCTCCTTATCAACATGACAATTGCAATCATCATTTGCGTCCTAGGTTTCGCTTTATATTTGACTAGCTTGGAAGCACAGCTTTCTCTGGAAAATTTGTTTTCATTAAACTTTTTAACCAAGATTGGAACATTCCCATAGTTAAAACTAATTCCAAAATCTAAATCGGAGGAAAATCGGTTAAGAAGTTCTCGAGTTATAATCTGACACTCAAAGAAACAAACAGACAGACTATTTGGTGTTGCAAAGAACTTATTATAAAATAATAATCTCTTTTTGTTTGTCCAATTATAACTCAGAAACCCCTGGACCGATTTGACCCACATTTTAATAGGTTAGAAGTTAGAAGTTAGAACCACAGGAGTGTTCTCAGCTTGGTTTGAAAATTTTAAATTAAGTTTGCTGATTTTTGTAGAGAAAGCTACTTTTCCAGGCAAAGACGAGGGGATAGACATTAATCATTATATTTCAATATTTTTTATAAAACATTAACCTTTGATAACATTTATTGAAAACATTCAGAAATTTTTGTTTACACAATAGTATATTATAATTTGAACTCAGTAACTTGCTAACTTGAAATAACATTGTTTTTTTTTTAAAGTTTCATTTTTTGAGTCAATTGGCAAAAAATGTTAGTCATGGATATCATAACAAATTCCTAACACAGTTACGTTTCGTCCCAATATGCATGTTTAGGTGGTGACTAATTCTGTTTTATATTTCAGGTTTTAGCTTTAAACATCTTTTTGAACCGGAGAATGAGAGACTGACCTCCGAAGAGGAGGAGAGGTTATCTATGGTGTTTGGACTCACAGATTAGATGTCAAGCTTATCAGTAGAATATGCTATAGACATATAAATAAATATTCATAAATGTTCAAGAATGTTAATAAATGAAATATAATCATTTTTTAAAGTAAATATTTCATGAACATTATTTTATGATTAGAAATGATTTTTACATTGAAAATTTTATGAACATTGCTTATTATTAAATGATTTTCAAATTTTTCACAAATCAATTTCTTTTGTAAAGTAAAGAAAACAAATACTTGAAAATTTGTAAAATTAAAACTTTTTAGCTTGGACCTTGTTCATTCGTCTCAAGAAAATTTCATTTTGAATTTTAGCTGAAAATCTTAATCTGGTTTACAGGTTACTATCAATCGTCTTTACAAATATTTTTAACCAAAAGGTAGACATAAGCAACTCCAAGGGTATCTATTCTTACAAAGATAATTTCAATACTAAAGCTTGTTGACTTGAAAACATGGAAGACGACTTACGATAACATTCTTGTAGTGTAGAAATCTCTTCCTTTCTACAATATCATTTAAGGGAATGCAAACATGGATAAACCGTACCTTTAACATAAATATTCTTATCTTTAACCTTGCTCAGTACTCCTCAGGATTATCTTTAGCCAAACTCCTCACCCCTTATCTTTAACCATAATCAGTATTTCTCGAACCCTTATCTTTAGCCATACTCCTCACCTTTATCTTTAACCCCACTCTACTCCCTCATCTTTAACCCTAACTACTCCACACCCTTATCTTTAGCCATACTTCTCACCTTAATCTTTAACCCTACTCTACTCCCTCATCTTTAACCCTAGGTATTCCACACCCTTATCTTTAGCCATTCTTCTCAGCTTTATCTTAACCCTACTCTACACCCTTAAATTTATCCCTACTCCAAACACCTGTCTTTAACCGTACCCCTCACCCCTTTATCTTAACCCTACTCTACACCCTTAAATTTATCCCTACTCCAAACACCTGTCTTTAACCGTACCCCTCACCCCTTTATCTAACCCAACTCAAATGTTTAACCCAACAACGTAGCCCTGTTGTCGGATAGAAACAAGATTCCCAATGATGAACAGACAAACAACAGAATAAACCCCAAATCAAAATCGATAATAAAGAAATTCTTTATTTCCTGTAAAAAAATTATATAAATGATAACATATAAAACTGTTACAATGAATGTTTATAATGAAAAAATTCTTACGATCTATTGTCTGATAGCATAGGGTTTAAGTAGTTGGACAGTACTAAGACGTTTTTTTAACTTCTGAAATGAATGACAATTAATTATTAACGAAGGTCACTAATTCTTTATGTGAAAATATTCTTTGTTTAGCTTTTGAAAATGGATGGATTCCCAATGTTTTAGGTTGTTTATACTCCGGACAGGGAGAACAAAGAAACCTGAGGTTAAAATTATTTGGTTTGGATTTTAGTGTCTCCGAGAGGGGGGTCTAAGTTAAAGACGACTTTACACTGATCATAGTTAATGATTGACAAACCCGTATCGTTAATCCTACTTTAAACCCTTATCTTCAACCTTACTCCTCCCCTTACCTTAACCCTACTTTTTAATCTTATCTTTGACTTTACTCTTCATCCTAATATTTAACCCTACTTTTCTATTCTTATCTTTAAGCAAAGCCCTAACCGTTATATTTACAATGATCCAAAATCTTTTTAATACTTCACTCGTATATTTCACCCTACTCTTCATCTCTGATTTGGAACTTTACTCCTTAATCCTTATATTTAACCCTCCTCCTGAACTCATATGTCTAACCCTTCTTTTCATCAATTCTCATATAACCCTACTCCTAAACTAATGTCTGACCCTGCTGCCTACCCTTCTCTTCATCAATTCTCCTGTAATCCTTATGTTCAACCCTATTCTTGAACTCAGGTCTAACCCTACTTCCTAACCTTCTCTTCAACAATTCTTTGTAATCCTTATATTTAACCCAACTTCTCAACTCTCACCAGTCAAAAACCCTTCTCCAAAGTCCTTTTAACCCTGCTCCAAAGTTCTTCTTTAAGCCTACACTAAAGTCCTTCTTTAAACCTACTCACAAAGTCCTTCATTAACTCTGCTCTAAGTCTTCTTTAACCCTGTTCCGAAATCCTTCTTTAACCCTACTACAAAGTCGTTCTTTGATCCTACACAAAAGACCTTCTTTAACCCTGCTAGAAAAGTCCAAACCTGCTACAAAATCCTTCTTTAACCCTGCTACAAATATTCCTTCTTTAACCCTGCTTAACATTCCTTCTTTATCCCTTCTCTAAAGTAATTATTTAACCCCACACCAAAGTCCTTCTTTAAATCTACTCCAAAGTTCATCTTTTCCCCTGCTCCAAAGGCTTTGTTTAACCATGGTCCTAAGTTCTTCTTTAACCTTGCCCTAAAGTCCTTTTTACCCCGGCTCCAATGTTCTTTTTTGAACCTCTTTTAAAGTCCTTCTTTATTCCTGTTCCAAAGTCCTTTTTAACCCTGCTTCAAAGTCCTTCTTTAACCCTGCTTCAAGTCTTCTTTAACCCTTCTATTGTCCTTTAACCCTGCTCCTAATATCTGTATAGTCCAGTTCCTGAAACCTATCCAGATAAGTCTATATCGTGTACGTGTATGATACCAAGATATCTAGATTTTCACACCTAATTCAATCTATTTTAATTTGAGTTCTAGGCGCACAAACTATCTTAATTTGATGTTAATCTGAATTTAAGTTTAATATATTAGGCAGGAACTATAATAATATAAATAAAATCGGTCATTTGTGTCATACAGACAATTTAAATCATAGATGTGTATTCATATTCTTATAATAAAACCCTATAAAGCAAGACAACAGGCTAAGAAAAAGGATTGAAATATTTTTTTAGGAGAGTTTTAATATTCTTGAATTCAGATCATTAATAAATTAATTGTGTATAATAACTTTCAAGATAATTTAATAATATTTTCTCCTGAAACCAGCCACCTGTTCTTGATTATTTATAAATCTAGGGAACCAGAAGTATCAGGGGGGGGGGTTACGGTCTTAAAGTAATGATTGATAGATAGGTGTTGGTAGATTTATCGTGGTTCCTGGTGCACAAACATATACCTTGAGTTTGAATACAGTAAAGGGAGTAGGGAGGTTTATCTTGTATTAATCGCCCCTGTAAAAATTGTGTGGTGTGTTTCTCCATGCTTTATTGCATTCTAATCGAAGTATTTACCTCCTGAGTAGAACATGCATGCAATTATAAAGATTTCATAATCTCAAACCAGCACATATGTAAGCCAGTGCCCTACATTTATAAAATCATTGTTTGTTTAAAGGGACTCTACGCGTAATTATATAAGAGACCCGCCATGCAACGATGGCAATGGCCAATTTTAAATGATACCCATGTAACTGTTTTCTTATCAATAATTAGGAAGATATTGTTGTTTATCAATAGTTTAATAGTGTTTAGTTCTGATGATTCCTCTACTTTTTAGCATACAATTTCATGGAGATATTTTGCAGGGCCTCCTAAAAGCCAAAAAACCTTAACGTTTACAAATCCCCCCTGTAAATTATTTCTCTATCTAACTGTTAATAATCTATCTAAGCTTGTATCTTTCTATCTATCTATCTGAGACCCTATTAACCAGAGAATTTCCTTCCCCCCCGCACTCCTGTATAACCATGTATAACCTATATTGTATATTGTACATAATATCCAGTCTGCTGAATTATGAAATATTTAAATTATTAATTTTACAACTTTTACTTAGAATACGTTTAATTAGCCAAAATATTTTCCACCATCCATAAATATTTGGTTTTCAAAAATATAATATTCCTCAATATTTTTATTTGTCAAATTAAAGACAGAAAACCTTCCTACTGTATAAATCTGTTCTTAACAGTCGGTTTTTCCTTTTTCCTCCTTTATTCCTTCTCTACTCCCCAGACCTAGCTGCAAAGGGTTTTTTTAAATAATTTCTTCAACACGCACCTCTGCACCTTCAGTAAAAGTAAATTTAACCTATATAAAGCATAAAGTCTGACCGCGTCAACCTTATTGCACTGGGTAGTACTGTCCATAGAGCTTGGTACAGTACAAACTGGAACCAGAAAGGTTGACCCGGATCGGAAATTCATATGTACTACAGCTGCCCGTGTCAATAACCTAATTATGTTGGAATTAAACTTAAGTCTTTCAATTTAAATGCATTTTTAATTAAAAGACGAAAAATATTTTATTATCACTTTAATGCTTCTCTGAACTAAATACCTTTCACAATCTCTTTAATTCGGGGCGAAATTTTCTGGAGACTTTGTTAAATATCAACGTATTTAAAACTATTGAATAAGATGATCAGTGCGAGCTGCAGAACTGATGACTCAAATTTCTCTTCCTACCAATGTAACGATGTTTCAATCTTCAAAATGAGCTAGAGCAATGTTCTGCACGACCTAGCACTTGCAAAACTCAAAATTCTTCGCTACTCTGGGTTGAGCTCCAGGTTCTTGCTTTTTCACGTGATTCTCCTTCTCTACCCGGTGTATTAACAGAAGGTTTTGTTCAAATGAAATTAGTTTCTTATTGCACCCGGTAGGACTGAAGGCTTGATAGAAAACGTGTTGAATTCATTTTGATATTGATATCATAGGAAGATGGCTTTAATAATATATTTTTAAAAGAGCTTGGTTCAAAGCATAATGTCTGCTAACTCGTTATTTGAGAAAAGATGAGAGCAAAACTTTTTTTTCTTAAACTTGTGACCGCCCTTGAACGCTTCAATCTTAGACCTTTTATAAATTAATTATTTGTGTTATTGTTAATGGAGAACTTTTCCCGGTTTAACGCATTAAACTCAATTTAAGTTTGTGCAGTGGATATTGTTTAAGCTAAACACTATCCTCTACACAAGTTTAACCCTCTGAGCAAGTTATTCTAATGCAATCAATTCTATTGATTAGGACAAGTAGGACAATAATAATGCTTTCACGTGTAATTTTTTATGCCCTGTGTAACCTAACATAACCCAAGCTGCTGAAATATCTAAAATATCATTAAGCTGTAGGAAAGCATCAAAAATGTTCTTTTTTGAAAATACTAAAACATCAAAACTGTCAC